GAGATATGCGGGGGCAGGCGGAAACACGCCTGAAAAACACGACTGTCGGCATGCTTCGCTAGAATTGCTGTTTTGAGATGGGCTGGTGGGGATACGCGAAGCGTGAAGAATTGAAGTCGCCTCCGTTGGCGGCGGGTCCGCCGATCATACTGACCGCCCCGCAGGCCCACAGGACTCGCACGTTAAGGTCGGACGCGCCCCCCCGTCGCCCCGAGGTAGAAGTTTACCCACTCGACCCCGCCAGGGACCGCGCCCGAGAGTTGCCCCGACCTAGCGCACCCTAGGCAGGTGCTGAAATTGTAGATCGGCTCGAAGACGCCGAGCCTGTACGCGCGGGGGGCTGGCTGCACTAGCCCTCCGTGTCCTGGCCGCTCTCGGTCGGCCCCAGCCGCTGCGCTGGCCATGCCATGCCAGCCGTCGTGCATGAGCATGTCGGAAACCTCCTTGCAGCGCTCCTCTCTGCGGTGGGCCCCCCGCTCATAAGTGAAGTCCTTGTAGAGGAAACTGTTGTAGAGGAACTCGGCCTCGGATGCGTAAGCACTGGCGTTGATGGGCGATGCGTTTCACAGCCGCGGCCGACGCAAAATACGCACCTGGATTGTCTGCCTTGGGCTTCCTGCACGCCCTGAGGGTGTCCAGAGCCTCGGTAATCCGCTTCCCCTCTCCCTCGGCGTCGCAAGCGCCCAGCATGCAGCCAGGATCTTCATGGGCCATGAACGCGTCGGAAGCCTGCACTGAGGAAGGCTCCTTGGCGTCAGCGCGGCGTGCGTCTTCACCTGCAGATCCTGATTTACCGCCGGGGGCTCCTCCTCCTCCTCCTCCTCCAGGATCGCGTGCAGGATCTCCGTCGCCTCCGCCCGCTGCCTCAGCCCGCGGGGTAGGCTGCGCGGCGGCCTTGGCGTCAGTGTCCATCTTGTCGGCCGCGGTGAGGATGGCCTCGATGACGTCGGCTGCTGAGAGGTTGTCGACCGCTAGTGCGCCGATGGTGTCTTTGAGCTTCTTCCCATCGGTGCCACCTGGGTCATGCTTGGCGCCGTGCAGCTTGGCAGCTTCCTGCTTCGCTGTCCCCAGACCCTCGCCCAGCTTGGCGCCCTCTCCCTCCTGCTCGGCGATGGAAGCCTGCAGCTTGAGCGCTTTCTCCCTCTTCACGGCGGGCTTGTCTCGCGCTGTCTGCAGCGCCCTGGCAGCCTTGTCGACTGCCTGCGGGGCTTCGCGACAAGCGGCTCCAAGCACGCCAGCAGCCGCAGCGCGTCTGGCGTTGTCCTCCTTGCTGCGAAAGGAATGGACGAGTGCCCCTAATAGCTGTCGCTGGGGAGGTCGGCCCAGGTCTTGATCTCCTCCGCGGTGAGCATGGCCCCGGCAAGCTGCTGGGAAGCGTTGCCAAGCCTGGGCCGCTGCTTCCGTCCGCGCCAAGGATCCCTTGACCGGCTGCCGTCGGTTCCTTTTCGGCCCGCTGGCCCGCCGGGGCTGGCGAGGCGCCCGATCTCCTCCGCAACCGCCGCAGGATCTTCGCCCATTGGCACTGCGCTCGCCGCGCGCGCACTTCCAATGTTCTGCCGCGGCCAGGACCAGAACGCCATCAGCGCGAGTGACAGTAACGCGAGCGAGCTGAGCTTATGATGCTCAGCGAACACAGCCGGGGCTAGCTGCGGACTTGCGGCGTCGCCTTGGGCCAAAATGGCTACGGAATCGGCGGCCGAGAACAAAACCGTCTCCTATCGGTTGCGAGGTTGCGCCCTCGGCGGCCGAAAATAAAATCGCCCCCTATCAGTGGCGCCATTGGTTTTGCCTTCGGCGGCCGAGAATAAACCGCCTCCTGTCGGTCGCGCCATAGGTCACGCCCGCCGCCTCCTTTCGGTTGCGCCCGCGGCGGCCGATAATAAAGCCGTCTCCTATCGGTTGCGCCATAGGTTGCGCCCGCGGCGGCCGAGAATAAATCCGCCTCCTATCGGTTGCGCCACCCCCGGCCGAAAATTTTCCCCTCCAACGGCATGGCGCGCAGCGCGCCGAGATCCGCTGCCTGCTGCCCCAGCCGCCCTGGCGGCGCGTTCGCCGCCGCTGGAGGCCCGCAAACGGCGGCCTCGACATGCGAGGGGCACGGGGAAGCAGGCGCCCGCGCAGGCAACCAGGGTCGGCGTAGGCCGCGCGGGCCGAAAGCGCCCAAAGCAAAAGCCCGGGCGCGGCAACGAGGGCACCCGCGCAGGCAGCCAGGGAAAGTGAGGCGCAGCGCGGGGGATCACGTCCTGGGCAACGGCTTGCCCGTCCGCGGATCGAGACCTCTCTTGATATTGTCCGCCTTCCTTTCTGCCCCGGCTTGGGCCGAGGCCTTCTCCGCCGCCTGGCACCTCGCCGCAAGGCCCCCGCGCTTGCCCGTGACCTGCTTGGCGCGCAGGCTGCGCCGCAAGCAGATTCTGCACCCGTGGAAGGTTCTCAGCTCGTGCTGGCTAGGTCCTCCTCGTCCGCATCGCCTGAGCCTCGCACCTCAGGCTGCGGCGGCTGCGGCGGCCTCGGCTTCGACCCCTGCTGGGTCGCGGCTTCGCTGGCGCCGTCCTGCGACGACGCTGCCGCCCCCGTGGGCGCCGCGGCCGGGCCAACCAGCGCCAGCGCCGCAGAGGCTGGGCGCTTGCGGGCTCCGCCAACGCCAGCGGCGCTGGGCGCGAAAGGCATGGCGCGGCAGTGCCCCGCGTGGAACTGCTTGATGTCCGCATCCGTGAACGCCGACCGCAGGCATCGGCGACAACGAACGCCGCCTGGGACATTGATGATGTCGTGCTGCACGATGTGCAGCTTGAGCCCCTTGGTAGAGGGCTCCGCGTAGTCGCACTCGAAATCGCTGCGTAGCTCTGCCGCCTCCGCGACAGCGGTCGCGACCCAGTAGGCCATGGAGTCCAGAGTGAGCTCCCTGGTTCGCCTGGCCTGCCTGTCGGCGACTGGCGCTCTGAACTGGTCCGCCACGAACCTCGCGCACCTGCCTGCCTCGTGGTTGCCACGTCTCCTACACATGGCAATATTGCCTGCTTCGACGACCAGGGGAGTGCCGTGGCCTTTGACCTTCACGACGGTGATCCCAGTCTCTCCGACGCCGCCAAAGTCGTCCAGCGCAGTCCAGGTCAGCCTCCAGACCTCCGCCCAGGACGCCATGTGGGAGGTAGTAGCAGCCCCCCCTCCCTCCAGCAGCCCGTTGACCACGTAGGAGGCGTCGAAGTAGGCGCGGATGGGTGCGCCCGAGTGACTCAGTATGGCTAGCAGCGTCAGCAGCTCGGCTCCCTCGATCGTCTGCAGCGGCCCTGGCGACGGAGCTCCCAAGGCCCTGACGGACGAGCGGGGCCCAGGGTCGGCCTCCTCGTCGCCAGGTCGACGCTCGACGGCCGCGCACGCCGACATGGCCATCGAAGTGCCATCGTACCAGCAGCCGTCCGCGAAGACCTCTGTGTTCATGGAGGGCATGCCGTCGTCCTTGATCCACTGCAGCCCGTCCAGGAAGTTATCCAGCGGCGGTCTCCACACCACCTGCGGCTCTGGCAGCGGCAGGCGCTCGACCAGGGTGGAGATGCTGATGCTGGTCTGGAAGGCCTTGAACTTCTCGAGCTCAGCTGGCAGGACAGTGCTGGGCCAGCTGCTCGTGCAATCCAAATGTCGATGCCACAACGTGCCTTCCACATCAAGATGGTGCTTGCCATACGGTGTCGGCGCGAGGCGAAGGGAGGCGCCGTACCTCCCCGAGTTGAGCCACTGCCCTTTGACCAAACAGACCTGGCGTATCCTCGCTGGGCCTTCGTGAGCGGCCTCCACTTTTTGCCCTCTGGAGAAGTGCCCTTGCCGTGGTGGGTCCAGCGTCTGATCTGGTCGCCGAAGGCCCCGTGCTTGATATCCTCGTGGGTATCCTTGGCCAAATGCTGGAGCTGCCAACGCTGAGTGTCGAGCTTGAACACCTGTTTGATGTACCGCGGCGGCGAGTTGCCGACATTCAGACACCCGCTGCCGTCAGGCCTGTCCGACAGCTCGAAGTCGCGCGGCGTGTAGCCGAATCTATGGGAGCCCTTGCCAGGTTTCGGGGCCGTCAAAACACAAACCCCGGGGAATGGGTCGAGACTTCTGGGGTCGACGTCATGAAAAAATCGGGACGTCGGGGGTCTCCCTCTCTGCCCTCCTCCCCTGAGACCGGGCTACGCAGTCTCTCTCACACCAGGCGTTTTCGCCTGGCTTCGGGCCCTGGGATCCTCACATATCGATCTGATTCGAAAAACTGGCGAAGAAAAATGGGGGGGCCAGGGCTCTGTTTTTTGTTGCGTGCTGCATTTTTGTCGGCGGCGTCGGATCTCAGGGTCCTCATCCTGGCCCTCGTCCCTCCCCTTGGGGATCCAAAACCGTGCGGTGACAGACCAGGCGGTGACCTCGGAACTCCAAGAGACCTCACCGCACGGTCTGTCACCGCACGGTCTTGGGGCCCTGGAGGCCCCTGTCGCCCGAGACCTCCTCGGAGAGGCACCCGAGCCCCAAAACCGTGCGGTGACCCCGACTCCCCACCGACTCGCCACGCGGTGTGGTCACCACCCCGTTCCGGGGCCCCCGATTCTCCTCCCTCCCCTCGTCTGGCCTCGACCTGGACGGCGAGCTCTCTTCCAAAGGGGGGGGGGGGGGGCCCGTCGCTGGCCCACGGTGCGGCTTGGCTCGAGAGGCCGCGCCGTGGAGGCGAGAAGGTCCTCTCCGATGGGCCCCCCTCCGAAAGGGTTTTTGCAGGACCGTGGGGGGAAGGCTTCTTAGAAGGGGGCTGCTTCTTAGAAGGCGCCCGCCTTACATCTACAGAGAAGGCTCGCGCCTTCTATGAAGCAGGGGTGCCTCTGAGATGCCCTCCCCCCTCCCCCCACCCCCCTCTGCGCGTGGCTGATTCTCTCTCTCCTTCAGTTGCGTGCGATGCTCCCTCACCTTCCCTCCTCCGCCTCCGCCGCCTCCTCGTCCTAGGGCAAAAGATGACCGACCGCGCGGCGAGGGGCTGGCTCCGTGTGCTCAATGTCCAGCCACAGGACATCGTACGGAATGTCGTGCTGGTCGAACTTCTTGTTCACGCCGATGGAGTCATCAACATCGACGTAGTTCCTCCAGGGCGTCATCGCAATTGTTTGCTGTCGCCATCAAGATCAAAAACCTCGCCATTAGACTTGCCATCACACTCGCCCTAAACATTACGGCGTTCGCGCCTTCTGGGAGCACAACCGGGGCCGTCGAGAACTGCTGTATCTATATATATAAGTATATGTATATATATATATATATGTGTGTGTATCTATATATATGTATGCATGAACAAAGAGAGGGAGAGACAGAGGGATCGAGATAGAGATGATGTTGGGTATACATGAACACGTGCACATCTTATACTTACACATACGGACTAGAACCGCGCGCGCGTGTCACGCGCGCTTAGGTTCTAATGTAGCCCACTTGAACTTACTGGACTGGGTGTTGATGGACATCGTCCCGCAAGGATCACCATCTCGGAGCGTACTCCCTGATGGACGCTGTAGGAGTCGTTGAATAATCAGGCCTTGAGAGATTCTGCTGCTCTGAGCAGATACACCGAGAGTTGCCTGCAGGTAACCTTGGGAGCCTTCGAACAGTTCGTAGCCTGTGGACCACCTTTCGCCGTCTTGAAGTCCTGGGCGTTCGTGTTCCCCCTCTTGGACCCCTCTTGGCGCCGTCTTGGGGCCCTCTTGGGCGACCTTCGGCGCCTCTTGGGCCGTTTTGGGGCCCTCTTGGACCGTCCTGGGGACCTCTTGAGTGTCTCTTGGGCCGTCTCGGGGCGGTCTTGTGGACCTCTGGGGCTATTTTCGAACGTCCGAAACCTAAAACGCGAGAACGCGAAACACATGGAAGAACACAAGGACAATCACTGATGTTTGCCTCTTTGGGCCCTCTTGGGGGTCCTCTTGGAGGGCTTTGGGGGTTTCTTTGGGGCCTCTTGGGCCGTCTTGGGGCCATCTTGTGCGCCTGCGCTCTTGGGCTGTCTGGGAGGCCTCTTGGACCCTATTGGGCACTTTCTGGGAACCTCTTGTCCCGGCTTGCGGCCCCCATTGGCCTCTCCGGGCCGCCCCTGGGAAGCGAGCCAGGAGGGTAACAACAAGTGCTCCCGGATGGTTGCGGAGTGGGCGTCCCCAGGCCGAGGGTGGGGTCTCTGTATGTTAATATGTTTGTTATTTGATTCGTGTTCTCGTTATTGCTACCATTATGAATATTACTGCGATTGCTGTTGTTACTAAATCATGTATGGTTCATATTCGTAGTATGGCTATTACTGTTTTTAGTTTTCTTACCATTATCATGTGCAGCATTACGATTAATAGCTATATTGTTATTAATGTTGTGAATATAACTTCCTTTTCTATATCACTGTGTTCTACATACAAGGGAGAGACAGCTAGGTGTGTGTACAGCTGCCTGTGTCAACTCTGTCGGCGAGTTTGTCGAAGCGCTCATGGCGCCTCTTGGGGGCTTCTTGGGGGCCTCTGGGGGGCGTATTGGGGGCCTCTTGGGGCGATCTATGGGGGCATTCTGGGGCCTCTTGGGGGCGTCTGGGGCCTTTGGGCAGCCTCCGTGGGATCTCTCGGGGGCCTCCTGGGGGCTCTTTTGGGCGTCTCTATGGGGCTTCTGGGGAACCTATAAGGGCCCTTCGAGGGCCTCTTGGGGCCTCTGGACTCTTCGGGTCGCTGGGAGCGCCTCCGGTGGGCAGCTTCGGGGCGTCTTGGAGGTCATGTTGAAGCCTCGGAAGCGCATCGGAAGTGGAAAAGGGAGAAAGCCAAAATCATAGATTTTCCAATGATCTTGAATGACTTTGGCCGCTGGAAGGCCTCCTCGGAGGGCTCTTGGAGCCCTCTATGGGCGTCTTTGGGGCCTCTTGGCGCTACTTGAGACAATCCTGGGGCGTCCTGGAGCGCTCTTGGGACCATCTTGGGGCGTCCTGGAGCCCCTTTTGGCAGTCTGGAGGCAATCCTGGGCGCTCGTGGAGCGCTCTGGCGCGCTCTCTGCCCCTCAGGCTCTCCGGGGACACCGTCCGGGGGTGGTGTGTGTGTGGGGAGGCGAAATACAAGGGGGGGCTCGGGGGCCCGGGGTCTCCCGTATATATATATATATATATATATATATATATATATAATATATATATACATATATATATATATAAATGAATATAAACATATATAGCGAACGAGGGGGAGGGATACAACTATATATATATATATATATATGTATATATATAGAGAGAGAGAGAGACACACACATACATATATAGAGAGAGGGAACAACCACACACACATCTATACACATACACTTATACATCTATATAGAGAGATAAACAAATCATAGAGATATACATAGAGACATATAGGCACACGCATACATACATATGTAACACATGCATACATACATACATACATACATATATACATACATACATACATACATACATACATACATACATACAGACAGACATACGTACGTACGTACGTACATACATACATACATACACACATACATACGTACATACATACATATATAGAGGGAGAGGGAAACAGAGAGAACGAGAGAGAGAGAGAGAGAAAGAGACACAACAAGAGACAGCGAGAGAGGGAGAGATATTGATATTGTGATGGCGATTCGTGTACATGATCGCGATCAGGAGAGAACCATGTAGGGCTGGGCATGAAACCTTGTAAACAAGCTGAGGAAACATAGAAAGGGGCGGGGGCGGCAACGAGGAAGGAAGAGGGGAAGGTGGCGAAGGAGGAAAACGCACTGAAGACTAACGAGGCGATGGAAAAGACGGCGAGGATAACCAGGCGAGGGAGAACTAGGGATCATGAAGAGGGGAGGCGAGGGATCAGAAGGCGATTAAGAGATAGAGAGAACGACATGACAATGTTTGGAACCCCGACGCCCCCCTTTGGAGGCTTAATGCTGCAAACCGACTTCTGTATGCATACACACAGAAATATTTACTTATGTTTGTATGTTGATGTATACATAAATACATACATACATACATACATACATACATGCATGCATGTATGCATACATACATGCATGTACACAAATATGTGTATATATGTATATGTATACATGTGTATATATATATATGTGTATTGCTCCCTGTCGGCGGCCCCTAGGCCAAGACATCCTGCATCTACATCCGGAGCGTGCTTGGGCAATCCTTGGCCTTTTCTGGGGCATCCTGCGGTCTCTGGATTCTAAGGCCACCCCTGGGCCATCTTGGGGTCCTCTTGCGTATGGGGCTGATGGGGCCCATCTTGGGAGCATCTTGGGGTTGTGGCTTGGCCTGGATGGACCATCCTGGACGATTTGGGTGGCATGGCGGGGGCCTTCTCACCTTGCGTCCGTCTTGCGCGATCTCGGGGGCTCTGGTGGCTGTGCTGAAACGTTCTGGTGACACTGCTGGAGCAAAACGTT